AATAAATAAAAAATAAGACAGCCTTGGCAAAACCAAGAAATGTTTTTCCAGCTGTAAAGCCGCCCAGGCTGGGAAAAATATGTAAGCATTGTTTGAATCATTTTTAATGAATTTGTATGGACCTGATCAGGAAAATTAACTAATTTACATATATATAAAAAAACAATCCACATATAAATAGATAAACAAAAGAGTGACTTGGGAAACTTGTGTCTCAGACAGTCCTATATAGGGCATGAGTAAGGTTGTGTGCCTCTAACAGAGATTTGAGAATCCATGATGAGAACAGCCTTAGGATGTGAGCATCACAGAAAGATACAGACAAGTGAAATAATGCCAGATAACAGAGCTGAAATCTGGACCCCCACAGTCAATCCCCTGGGAAAGAGTCAACAAGACATGTTAATTTCGTATCTGTATAAATACACATAAATAGACTCAGGACGACTCTGAGAAAGACAAAGAGCAAGAGGCGAGGGAGAGAGGGTGAGACAGAGACTGTGTCTGCAGCTGGGACTGGAGCAGGGCTCAGGGTTGAGGGGTCTGACGTCATTGCGTCCTAGCGCATATGTTTGTCCCATTTGTCGGTGAGATTTCTCGTTTGATGCGGTTTAATGAATCTGTTTATCAGAACTCATGCTGTCTTATGGTTTCCAGTCAGTGTTTACATGCTTCCTGTCTGTATTCACACACATAAACAAACCTCAAATATACTTCATAATAAATTTGAGCGCAAAACAAGAGTTCTTCCAATCTGAATTTGTCCAAATAATAAATATTTTACAAAAATACCATGGAAATATTGTCGCTTGGAGGAGAATGATAAGCTGAAAGCTTATAAAACACAGTAAGACTTGCAGCATCCAGCACCAAAGGGTGACTGCGTTGTGTCAAAGGTAATTAAAGTAGTGAGAATTAATGCATATGCTTAAGGAAAGACTTTGAATAAAAGATCTGATCCACAATTACATTTACATATTAAAATCTTCTCTAGGAAAAAAAAAAGAGAAAGAACAAAGGCAACTTAGGTAACATCAAGAGGGTCAAATAGAGCTTTGCACAGGAGTGTTTCAGTCCAAGAGTGCACCTAATACAATACTAATGCATCGAAATAACGTGGTATAGACTAATCCAGGGGTGTCAAACTCAATTCCTGGAGGACTGGAGCCCTGCAGAGTTTAGATTCAACCCTAATTAAGCACACCTGATCTAACTAATCAAGTCCTTCAGGCCTTTTTGAAAACTACATGTGTGTTGGAGCAGGGTTGGAATAAAACTCTGCAGGGCTCCGGCCCTCCAGGAATTGAGTTAAACCCCCCTGGACTAAACCAAAACATTTCGATATTAAATAAACAAATAAATAAATGTGCAAACTCACCACTGACCACAAGAGGACGCCAACAACGAGCACATCCATGAATATACACAAGCAAATATACAGTCGAAGGCAACTGAGATTAAAGGGGTCATATGATGCGATTTACATTTTTACTTTCTCTTTGGAGTGTTACAAGCTCTTGGTGCATAACGGAAACGTTTACAGGTGCAGAGTAATGGCATTTTTTAATCTATGGAACAATATAAATAATCACACAACGATGTTTTGGACAAGTAGTGTAATATGTTTAGTATTGGCAAAGGCTTTTGTATTGTCGAATAACAACATATTAAGCAGCTTCCTTAAATGGAGGCTAGTGTGGTGAGCCCAAAGAAATTTGTTAAATCTGTCAGTTTCAAATAAAACTAGCATACTGAATACTGCAAATTATACTTACGATGAAACTGTTTTGATTAGCATGCTACACCGCTGTCACGACCTCGTTGCAGGTTTAATTTGGTGGCCAGATGGCACGGTTACCGCGTTTTTGCTCTTGTAATCCCATTTTGTATATAAATGTAATTTGCTAGTGCTATCAAAAGAGCTGTATTCTGCTTATATATAAACAGTAATTGTAATATGGTAGCATGACACCTCTAACAGAAAAATGTTTAAACTAGATGTAACTTGATGACAGCTTGTGGTTAACGCGGTGTAAATCGCGCCAAGTGACATGACTCTGCCCTCTTGTGGTGAGAAGCCAAGTCTACATGCTACAAATCAGGCAGATTCAACTTTATGAACATAGAAAGATAACTTGTCAGAATAGATTTACATAGCAGTCATTTAAGTATTAGGTAGGTCTTTCAATTAAAAACCAGGGCCAAAGTATATTCAAGTGACAGACTGAATCAGCACACCGTTTTGGAGGTAGAGTAATTTTATTTACAACCCAATGATCAATGTAAAAGATAAGTGATAAATACTTTAAAGCATGCAACTAAAGCCGCTTTACAATGAGCTCTACAATGGTTAATCTAGACACACTCACTTTAAAAACCTGAGTCTGTAAGGAATGCTTTACAAAATGACTCCAATGTACAAATCCATTGCTTTTACTTCGAGTGTTTCTCATTAAAAGTTCAAATAAAAAAAAAAGGAAAAAATAAAATAAAAATTAGGCCCTCTCTCCTCTGATTCGCCTTGCAAGCTGGATATCCTTGGGCATGATTGTGACTCTCTTGGCATGAATGGCGCACAAGTTAGTGTCCTCAAACAGACCGACAAGGTAGGCTTCACTTGCTTCCTGTTTAAAAAAAAAAAAAAAAAAAAAAAAGAAAAAGAAAAAGAAAAAAAAAGAAAGTTTGTTAAAGCTTCCAGAAACTTTGAGCATGTTGTAGATCACACTGCAATACGGTCATGGAATAATTTTAAATATAAAAATAGCTACACACCTGAAGTGCACCAATGGCTGCACTCTGGAACCTCAAATCAGTTTTGAAGTCCTGTGCGATCTCCCGAACCAGACGCTGAAATGGCAACTTGCGGATGAGCAACTCTGTTGACTTCTGATAACGACGAATCTCTCTCAGAGCAACAGTTCCAGGCCTGAAGTGGGGGAGAGGAGAAGAAAAAAAAGAAAGTGTATGATTTACCGGTTATCATCATCAACTTTATTTCTCATGTATGTGCAAGGGTGCATCTCATCACAGCAGCATCTCAGACTCACCTGTATCTGTGGGGCTTCTTGACGCCACCAGTAGAGGGCGCGCTCTTCCTAGCGGCTTTAGTCGCCAGCTGTTTTCTTGGCGCCTTTCCTCCAGTTGATTTACGCGCGGTCTGCTTGGTACGAGCCATTGTTGTTCAGTCTCTGGAATTGAAAACACACACTTAAATATGGAATTCTTACCATTTTAATGGGAAACTCTACCGGTGACTTAAAATGGCGGAATCATCCGGGTCTTGCGGTTTGCTTTTACCACTTCCGCTCCAAAGCCGCATATACTCATTTTCATTTATAAAGCTGTACAATGTAACGTTAAAGTGCCTACGACGCGTATTAAATTCTAAACTATATAAAACGGCTAGAATGTATGCGTAATTGGCCTTGAACAAAACCAAACAAGCATCCCATGCGTGTATTTGCATCAGACGCTACTCTGGGACACCAGCATCAAGCCTCCATCTGCAGCAGAGACGCTCCCCCTCAAATACTGCATATTACACACCATCCCACCACGAAACTCACTTTCAACCAGAAATATAGCAGTTGCATAATTTAGAAACTGCGGGAAATTTTGTGCAGAGGCACAAGGGAAAGTTATTTGAATGCAGCATTCGGCACAACACCGGCAACTCGACCTCAAGTAAGTTAACGTTACAAGATGAACAAACCATTGTCCAAAATGGCGGGCAAAACCGTACGCTGACAACCCAGCAGGGAATTATCAGATGCAACATATTGCTTCAAAGCCCGACTAAAAAAAAAACACACACATTTAACGTGTCTAAAACGCCACATGCTGTTTAAATGAACTTTAAACCAAGAGCGTTTAAAACATTAATCCAAGCTACAAATTAGCCAGCAAATGACTCATCAGTAAGCAGGAGAAAGCTAAAATCCGATCAACTCTGAAAACGACTAATTGTTTTGTTTTAAATTAGCTCTAGTCGGACTATTATGACTGCTCTCTAATGCCTAAATATCTACCAAATGATTTAAAGTTGACTTACACAAACCTCGTTGAACCACGATCTTTCCCACGTAGTATCTCGTATTTGAAAATATGAGGGTTGGGCTTCTATTTATATATTTCTGTGGATCGTCACTTAGACACGCCCATATATTACGTTTTCGTATCTCATTGGCTTAACGTAACAGCCTCCTCCTCTACGTTGTTTTGCTTTATTTATCTTTTAGAATATTTCTTGTGAGAATGTAATACTACTTTTATTTTAAATATAAAGAATGTATTAGATAAAACGGGTGCTGGTGTAAGATACTTGGAGTACTTTATTTAGACATTGTCTTCAGTCTCACATTTAGCGATTTGTTTACGTTTATTTTTTCACATAACTTAGAAAACAAAGATTATTTGTAATAGATAAAACGGGTGGTGGAGAAATATATACTTGAAGTAGACTACTTTAGACGTTGGCTTCAATCTCACTTAATTTGTTTGTTTGCATATTTTTTTCACTAAACATCAACATTTGAAATAGATAACGGTTGCTGGAGTAATATATAATTGAAGCAGGCTACTTTAGATATTGTCTTCCATTTCACTTTAGGAACTTGTTTGTATGTTGTTGTTTTTTACATAACTTCAAAAACATCCTAGATAGCGAACTGACATAGAATCAACGTTGAATCGACGTCTGTTTGCTATCTGGGATACATTTAACTGCAACTCAATCCACAGAAAAAAAAAATGTCTTGAACCCGAAAACAGTTACTACTGTAAGTGCGCTGCACTCTCGGGATTAAAAAAAAAAAGTATATAAATAAATGTCTAATTAAGCATTGTTTTATGTTTTTATTACATTGTTTTTTATATTTCTGAATAATGTTAACGAACACGTTGCAGTCTAAATAGTCACTTGTGTTGTGTGAGGGATCGTTGCATATTATAGCAGTGCTGCTATGCAGCATGGCCATTGTCTTGTTTGTCCCGCCAGTTGCTCATATTGGCCTTGCAGCGGCGCGCGAGAGCATGAGTAGACGACAGGGTCCCCGCGCACGCGCTATTATTGTTTTGACTGAAAATGCCGTCGGTTTCGAAAACGGTGGTGAGCGCTTCTCCTCAAACCGAGAAACCAACCCACTATACGTAAGTAGAGTAAGCATTAAACGGACGAAAATACGTTTCAGCGGAACGCGATGACTGTTCGATATTCGACTGTCGGGTTTGTATTTGCAACGCGTGCTGCTTCCTCTGTGCGTTTAAAAATGGTGCTTTTCCTTTTGTAAATTCGTCCGAATACATGCGGATCTCACATATTAATGTTAATGAAATCAACAATCTCGTCTGCTCTAAACGTTGCATCGTTTCCCGTACAAAGCTTTAGCTGTTTTGCGTGCCTTTTAAAACTTAAGAAGGTGCTCTTCGCTTATTTGCTCAAAGGCTGCTTGTGTAAAAGCCTGAAGACATGTACATTGCACAGCAGCAAGACGAGCGAGTCGAGACGCTCGCTAGATGTAGCTAACAGGCTGGGTTGTTAGCTGCATCCGCCTCTTTCCTCGGCCCGTGTTTCTTACTCTACGCTCTTTTCCCGCCGTACGCACCGTTGGTTCGAATGGAACGTACGTCGAAGATTATACGTAACTGTGTACGCTAATCGCGGAATACTTGGCGTGAGCTTCTAATGTTGTATTGGAGAGCCTTGATAAATAGCTCACAGTTGATGCAGTGGATTTCTAAAACAATTAAACACATTCCGTTCCCATTTAGATGTTTATAAACACATAAAGTGAACATCATATGTTTACAGTTGCTGAAAAGGGTGTTTATCACGTAAACTATTTATCTAGGGCTAGTTTTGTTGGGGAATGGTAACGTTAGCGTATTAGAAACTACGCAGTGTAAACAGCCACCGCAGCTCCAAACTTTGTTAGTAGTTTCACATTGCTGCGTTTGATTTTGTCAATACTGATTTGTTTATACATCACCCAAGTGAAGTTTTTGTCGCGGAGGTGGTTGATTATAAAGCTTTTGACCGTGCTTTTTCCCATTTTAATTATAGATATTTGAAGGAGTTCAGGACCGAGCAATGCCCACTGTTTTTGCAGCACAAATGCACACAGCATAGACCCTTTACGTGTTTCCACTGGCATTTTCTAAATCAGCGAAGACGGAGACCCATACGAAGAAGAGACGGGACTTTTAATTACAGCCCAGATGTATATTGCACGAAGTATGATGAAACAACAGGAATATGCCCAGATGGAGACGAGTAAGTAACTGCTTTTTGTTTTATTTACACTGCAGTTGAGAAGTCATTTTTCATGTTTTCGCGACAGTGCACGTAACGTTAGTCATGTTTATTTTGCTTTGGCAATTTTTGTGTTGCTTGAAACGAATATTGTTTTAATAATTATAATATATATCACAAAACAATTATTTTGGAAACGCCTGCGTTTTGTGAATCGGATTTTGCCATTTTTTAGTTATCATGAGCATGCTGTAGTGTTTTTGTCTCGTCTTATTGTTCTGTGTAGCACACGCCCTCTTTATAAAGTATGTAGTTTAGCAGCCTTGTAAATTCACTATAGTGTTTACTTTGTTAATGTTTTACTCCCTCGTGAGATATATCGCTTTCTCCTGTAATCTTTTTGCTGTTCACGGTGTTGTTTCGCTCGGTGTGTGTGTATTTCTCGAGTTTCACTTCCACTTTTGCCTGATGACTCGTCTCTCAGTTCCCAGTTTGCCCTGTGTGTAGCAGAAATGTGTATCTTCGGTTTGGAAAAAAAGGTCAGAAGACTGATGGTGGAGAATCATGTTTGCCTTCCTTGTGTATTGCGCTTAGAGAGCCTAAAGACACGCCCCCTGTTCTATGCATTCTGATTGGCTCTCCTTTGCACGTACCCTTTTCTGATTGGCTCACTGCTGCTACAACGTTTACGAGCCCTCGCTTCATAAAAACTCATGTGTTTACAAAGCACGTTATAGTTCGGAGAACTCAGTCATGTCCAATCATGTCCCAGTTTAGTCCAGTTGTATATTTTGTTCTCTGTTAATTCGTTTGACAATCAGTGAAAACACTGTGCTCAAGATAGAAGTTAATGCTTGATTGATCCCAATACCAAAGGTTGTTTAAATATGTGCTGTTTGTTTGTAGTTTAGCTTATGTTAGTTTCTTATTCATTAAATCGTATTTAAACAGCTAGTTTTGCTGGAATTGTGCAAAAGCAGAGTTCAAAGGCTCTATAAATGGATCATAACTACTGTAGAGTCCACGTGACATAACTGTTAGTCAGGTGTCATATGTGGATTCTTTCCAAGTTTTTCCCATAAGATTGTTTTGGCGCTCCAGCCATAAATAGTGGCATGGCAACTTTGTTTTGATTTTGGGAATGCTGTAGTATGATGTCAGTCAGGTGATATTTCTGATCTCACAGAGAGATTAACATAGAATCCTGTGACACATCAGGTCAACATTTTGATTGTATATATAGATTATATCTGCAATTTACTTAAACACATTTTTTTTTTAATAATGATTGTACAACACTAGTCATTGTATAATTTGTTTTTATTATTGATTCACAATATATGGGTCGACTAGATAATATAGATTATCTGCCAATATGAGGAATTAAAAACTAATAAATAATTGCATTGTTCAATATTTAATTGTGGATGCTTGTTTCAGCGTATTTTTATATTATGTTTTATATAATTTTACACCTATTTATTAATAGAGGACCCACGGATTTTATTATTTTTCTCATCTCATTCATATATCCATATATTTCATACTTTACATAACAGTGCAATGATGTTTACAACTTTTGCATTATAACATCTATATGACATTTTAAAAAAAAAACTGTTTATTTTAGTTAGACAAAATATATTTATTTATTTTCTTTACCTACACCTGAACTGAATGATACTGGATTATTATTATTGTTTTGGATAAAAGCGTCTGCTAAATGACTAAATGTGAATGTAAATGTTTTTATTATAATATAACTCTTAATGGTTTGTCCTGCGTCTCTGCCGAGTCTCCCCGACAATGTATGTCACATAGTTTCAGTATAGGCACAGATCACAGGCTCATTCATCCAGTAGCAGCCGTCCTGTGATGACATCACTGCTGTTGCCATAGTTACTGTTGCTACCCGAACAAGATGCAGTTGCTATATTTGAGAAGATTATTGGGTATGTGGCATTTTCGGTATAAATCTGCTCTCTTCCAGGGAGCTGTTCGGATTGTCACAGCCCTGTTTTCTGTGTGCCTTAAATCCTTTCTTAAAAAACAAACATATATTTTGTCTTCTAAATGCCTGTTTCTCTTAATCTCATCGTTTGCATTATGGTATCATGTATCAGCATGCATAATTCTTATTGCACTCAGTTTCAATCAAGTTTAAATATACATTTTGAACTTAAAAGTGCAGTTAGCCGAAAATGATTTATTTAGTTATTATTTAGACTCGTGCTGTGCTTATAACACCAAGCATGCACTAATAATATTTCATAATTTCATAGAGACGTTACTCTCCTTTACACTACGTATGTATACTGTCTGCCAATATATCTTGCAAAATAACTTCCAGCCGGAAAGTATTTCACAAGTGTTTGACTGTTTTAAAGTTGTGAAAGCTCAGCATTTGCCATGATATTGATGCTTGTTGCCCTTGATGTCTTTTTATGTCTTTTATTTTATTTTACATGCTATATTTAACAGTAGTGGCCAGAACTGTATTTGTATATTTGTTGATGTATTTTTAACATATGTTTGCCAGATTACTTCGTTTGCTCATTGTTTGTGGAAATAATACATGAAGCACTATTTATAGTGTATTATGCTAGGAATAAAATGAGTTCTTGGACAGCAATGATGATGATCTGTTTTAGCATAAAGAAATCAAAAAGTTTGTTGTCTGCTTGTATATCACACTGTCACTCAGTCATATTATGTTATATTAGAAATAGTTGTCAGACAGGTTAGTGCAGCTCTAACTTCCAATACGATTGTTATTTTGTGACAACAAAAAGCAATAGTGTGTTTGTGTCCAACGTCTTTTTTCTATTTTCTGTGGCTTCAGGCAGTGCAGACACAAGCCTCATGCCTCAGTATTTCGAAACAAAGCGTCCCAAAGAGAGCACTCATTGGGAAGGACTACATTTTTCATGTTTTACATTTATTTTTAGTTCTTTGCATTACTTTCACTTTGTTGTTCACAGAGAAATGCACTGATCTTTACATGTTTATGAAATATTTAGTCATTTATTTTCAATGAACACATCAAAATGTATTCCTTTCATTGAGCATGTTTACTGATGAGCAACACTGGTGCTTTTCTCTTCTCAGTTGCCCTTATTTACACCGGACCACCGGTGACACAGAGCGCAAGTACCATTTACGCTACTACAAGACCGGCACCTGCATCCATGAGACAGATGCTCGTGGGCATTGTGTGAAGAACGGCCTCCACTGCGCCTTCGCTCATGGACCACACGACCTACGGCCGCCAGTTTATGACATAAGGTAGTGTTTTTTTACTCACTCGCTAATACATGTTGAATTAGTGTGATTAATCTAAAATGGTCACATTAACAATATATTAACTATGAATTTTGCCTCAATAAACTCCTAATTTGCTGCTTATTAATAGTTAGTAATGTAGTTGTTAAGTTTAGGCATTGGGTAGCATTAAGGATATAGAATATTATGCAGAATATGTGCTTTATAAGCACTAAAAAAAGCTCATATGTTAATAATAGGTATGCTAATAAGCAACTAGTTAATAGTGAAAATTGGTCCATATACTAAAATGTTACCTAAAAAATATATGCAAACAATCATGCCCCTGACCCATGCATTAATGAGGAATATTCCTGCAGTCAAAGCAAGTCCACTATCAGTGCAGCTACTATAGGAAACGCACTAAATTTTATTTACTGAGAGCAGGCAACCTAAAAAAAATTTGTTAAATCATTACCATAAAGTACACTACCACTCAAAGGATTGCGGTCAGTATGATTTTTAAGAGATTAATGCTTTTATTTATCAAGGATGCATTGAGTTTATCAAAAGTTGAAGTAAAGACATTTATAATGTTACAATGCTTAGATTTATAGGAACATTTATAATGTTACTGCTTGAAATATTAAGCATTTTCAACATTGCTAATAATCAGAAATGTTACTTGAGCAGCAAATCAGCATATTAGAATTTATGAAATATTTAGTCATTTATTTTCAATGAACACATCAAAATGTATTCCTTTCATTGAGCATGTTTACTGATGAGCAACACTGGTGCTTTTCTCTTCTCAGTTGCCCTTATTTACACCGGACCACCGGTGACACAGAGCGCAAGTACCATTTACGCTACTACAAGACCGGCACCTGCATCCATGAGACAGATGCTCGTGGGCATTGTGTGAAGAACGGCCTCCACTGCGCCTTCGCTCATGGACCACACGACCTACGGCCGCCAGTTTATGACATAAGGTAGTGTTTTTTTACTCACTCGCTAATACATGTTGAATTAGTGTGATTAATCTAAAATGGTCACATTAACAATATATTAACTATGAATTTTGCCTCAATAAACTCCTAATTTGCTGCTTATTAATAGTTAGTAATGTAGTTGTTAAGTTTAGGCATTGGGTAGCATTAAGGATATAGAATATTATGCAGAATATGTGCTTTATAAGCACTAAAAAAAGCTCATATGTTAATAATAGGTATGCTAATAAGCAACTAGTTAATAGTGAAAATTGGTCCATATACTAAAATGTTACCTAAAAAATATATGCAAACAATCATGCCCCTGACCCATGCATTAATGAGGAATATTCCTGCAGTCAAAGCAAGTCCACTATCAGTGCAGCTACTATAGGAAACGCACTAAATTTTATTTACTGAGAGCAGGCAACCTAAAAAAAATGTGTTAAATCATTACCATAAAGTACACTACCACTCAAAGGATTGCGGTCAGTATGATTTTTAAGAGATTAATGCTTTTATTTATCAAGGATGCATTGAGTTTATCAAAAGTTGAAGTAAAGACATTTATAATGTTACAATGCTTAGATTTATAGGAACATTTATAATGTTACTGCTTGAAATATTAAGCATTTTCAACATTGCTAATAATCAGAAATGTTACTTGAGCAGCAAATCAGAATATTAGAATGATTTCTGAAGAATCATGTGACACTGAAGACTGGAGTAATGATGCTGAAAATACAGCCTTGCCATCACAGAAATGTACGTTTTAAAATTGATTACGATATAAAACGGCTATTTTAAATTGTGATAATATTTCACAATATGTTTTTTTTTTTTTTTTTTGGTCAAATAAATTCTAGGTGACCTTAAGAGACGAAAAAAAAACGTTAACAATTCTTATCAAGTGGTTACTGAATGGTAGTGTAGTTACAGTTTTGAATCATTTAATGTACATAGTTGAGAGGACTATTTGCATTTCTTCGAGTACAAGGGAAACTTACACTAAAGGGCATTAGTCGGAAAAGGAAGTTCTTTGGCTTGTGGCACTCAAATTCCTGTTTTTCAACGATGGGGGAAATTCTGCCAGGATTCCCAACCCCCAACTAGCGTAAAAACTGTGAATTCCAAAACAACAGCAGTTTGCGCTAGTCATTGTTTTGTTATGTCCGTTGCTTTCGGTTGCAAAACGCTTTTGTGGCTGCACAAGTTTTCAGCTGATTAGCACCATAGGTCTTTACATATGTATTCAGTTCATAAGAGAGCAGTCAGGGTGCTTATTAGAGGGTGCTTAACCTCATTTGCAAATATATACCGTATTTGTTGTTTTACTAACGACATCAATTACGCCTGCATTGACGAGCAGTCTGCACAACACAGCCGCGAACGGTTTGATTCTGGCCTGGAAATGTGGCTTACCAGAGATTAAATAACAAGAAATATGCCATCTCAGCAGTTGCCTAGCAACGTGTATGTGGAAATAGCTGTTACATCAAGAGCGGTCTTGGTTTTTTTTCCCCTTTTTTTCTTTACATCTGCCGTTCGGAGTTGGTGTTGGTCCTGTTGCATGGGTGGGCTGACTTGCATAATTATGTTCACAGAGAGATTCAGGCACAGGAAGCTCTGCAGAACGGCCAGTTGGGATCTGGGGAGGGAATTCCTGACCTGCAGCCGGGTGTGCTGGCCAGCCAGGCCATGATTGAGAAGACCTTGAATGAGGACCCACGC